GCCGGGCGCGTGAAGGCGAGCGGGCATCTGCTGCGGCTCAGGCACGCGTCACGCCGCTCCCGAACTGCGATTCAGATCACCGGGAAGGGGAAGAGGTGAACGGCTCGGCTACCGCCGCGTGCTGCCCGCAGCATCAGCCCTGCGCCGGTCTCACTCAACCGCTTCCGTGAAAGCCTTCTGACCTTTCCCTCCAAGGCACTTGGCACACTCCGAGAGGCTGAGATCAGCAAAAAAAAGCACATTCTCCCCAAAATAAATGAGGCGTAGCACAGAGCGGGGTCAGCTCCCACAGCTCCGGAGGAGCTGATCTCAGAAGGTAAACATCCAGGAAGCCACCCGTCAGCAAAATTCAGGATGTGTTTAGAAAAAAAAGGTTTATACAAGGAAGCATCTTACATCATTTCCTAGAAGTAGCCAAGATAAGATATGCCGGGGCCCGAGACTCCTTCCTGCCTGCTCACACCGGCACACCCCTGGAAATAACACACGAGGAATCCCTGCAAACCCAGCCCTCTGTGCCAGCAGTGGGAAGGAAGGGCTGCCTGCGACCCACAAGTACTTACAGAGTCACCAGCCGCCGATGCAGGAGATTTATTTCTTATTCCTTGTCAAAAGATCCTTTCCTTTCAGACACCAGAGGGAGAAGGTTCAGCCCTGCGGTACTTCAGGCCCCTCGGCAGCAACTCCTCCCTCCCAAACCCACCCCGCGGGAGCAAGCTGACCTCTTTCGAGCCTACCACCCTTTGCCCGCCTTGGTTAAGCGCGTTGTAGTTCATGATTACCCACACCCCATGCCTACCATCACGTCTAATGCTATCAGCATGGATTTTTGATCTGCTAACTGCACTGCATAAACACCTTCACCAGCTGCTAATGCCAGCACGCAATACTAAGCCCTAATCTCCATACCCCACTTTTTGTACACTAAGCTACATCATTGCCTCCCCTCACATGCAGTGGGAACAGGAGAAAGAGTAAAAGCACGTATGCACACTCCACAAACAAGGTGGTTCATGGCCAAAACACTGGTCTGAGAGTTGGGAGATGCAGCCAGCTTCCAATCCTGCCACCGACACACATCTGGCCAGGAGTAAATGGCTTCCCTTCCACCAGCCTTTGCCCATTCCCTCCTTTTACGGCACAGAAACACGAGCCCATCCAAGCACCTGTCTGGCAGAGCACGACTCCCAGGCATTATCAGAACATAACCAGATAATTTTAAACATCTCACGTGTGGGAGAGCGGATGCCCACGGAATACCAAGAGTTTAACAAAAACTGCTTTGCTTCAGCCTGTTGCCGGTTGTCCCGGCTCTGGGCATTATGTGAGGAGCTGAGAACCAGCACGGCAAGTCCTTCCTATTCACGGGCTTCTTTGCATACGTGGCACTTGCAGAATCAAGCCTTTGACGAACAACACTGAGGCTTTCAGGGTACAGACAAGACAATGCAGCAGCGTCTTCCAGGGAAAATGAGAGCAGGCTTATGCTGCTGCCCACTCGGAATTCATTACAACAGAGCTTAGCATTCACGCAGCGCCCTGGGAAAACTCAGTTACGCGGGCATAACTCCAGGACTCGAAGCAGCTCTCAAAGAAGAGCCACGTTCAAAATGCGGTGGCTCCTTTCAAGCCCCCCCTTACACAGTCAGTGGGACAGAGTAACTCTCCACCATTAAAACGGAACGGCTTTTCCACTCTGCGATCACTCTAAAAAAATGCAGCTTGGAGGTTAAGCAGTTCTCTAAAGCCAGGGGGTTTTGTACAGGACAAATCTGGTTTCCCACCTCCAAAAGCATCCTTACAAGTGAGATGCTCAATATCTTCTGGATATCACAAGAGCCAAAGGCCAAACCCAACACGCAGCAGAAGTAACTAAATTAACATGCAGACAGTATTTTTCAAGTAGCTTAAAGAATCTTGCCCTCAAGGCCAAATCGAAATCTTTATGGAGCCACCTTTCAGCTAAGTCATGAAAACACAAACACGGCTTGCAGTGTAACACAGTACCTTAGAAAAAAGCTTCCTGGGCTCTCCATGTGACTGGAGGTTGCTGCTAGGGTTTGGATCAAATAACAGACCAAAACACTAACCGAAATATAACACGATGATTCGAGTTCTACCCACCCCCTCCCCCAGCTGGTAATCCACTCCTCCCTGCTCTCAGAGCCAGCTCAACCACTGACGCATCACGGCAAGGATGAGCTGTAGCAGCACGTCCAAAATGATTTTGAGCGCTCCTCAGAGGCAGCTGCGATTCACCCAGGAGGTACCTGCAGCATCTCAGCTGGCTGGATAAACCATTCTTCCTGATTTTAATCTTTCCGCGTTCTCCCACTTAAAACTAGCTTATAAATACTTGTCATATAAAAGTGAATTAATATTATTTAATGTCCACGAACGGGTCATTTTTCTGCACACAGGCCACCAGCTTTCTTCCTCACAGTCCTGTTTGCCCAACATTTTTAGACACCAAACACAAAGACTTAAGCAGAGGCAAAGCAAGGCCACTCGAGTGCTACAAGCCACAGTGCTAGGACTCCCCCACCCACAATTTGCTGCCCCACCACTGAAGGCAATACAAACGTCCACTGACCTTTGGAATTAAACAAGTAACTACCTAAAACAGGACTTGATAAAGAAATTCTGCCAAGCTCACTATCTGGCCTTCAGTTCTCAAGATAACAATCCATTCTGGCTACCAGAGTGCCGTGTAATTGCTGCAGTCATGTCCTTCTCGCAGGGAATGACTCTGCCATCGCGTGCTGGCACCGTCCAGAGCTTCCATGGAGAGCTACCCAGATCTTCTTCCTCAGCTTTATTTTATGCTGATTCACAGACAGAAAAGCAGAAGAAATTGTTTCCACCATTCTTGACCTTGTCAAACCACAAGAACCAACAGGTAACCCCCTACACCCCTGAAGCTCTGGATGTTTTCCCAAAACCCAACCAGGACTCAGTGCAAAGGAACCTGAGGACTCCAGTCAAAAATCAAAACAAACTGGCATTGTCTTTCACTTATTAGAAAATGGAAAACAAACAAACAATAGCCACGGATTAGATTTTACCAGTCAATTTTGTGCTTGT